CGGGGAAGTACCGAGGCCGTACCGGGGATGTACCGGGGATGTACCAAGGCCGGTACCGGGGATGTACCGGGGATGTACCGGGGATGTACCAAGGCCGGTACCGGGGATGTACCGGGGCCGTACCGGGGATGTACCAAGGCCGGTACCGGGGATGTACCGGGGATGTACCGAGGCCGGTACCGGGGATGTACCAGGGATGTACCAGGGCCGGTACCGGAGCTGTACCAGGGCTGGTACCGGTGCCGTGCCGACTCTCTCGCCCCCCGGCCCCTGACCGCCCCTGGTGTCCCCTGTTGCAGGTGGAGGAGCTGCGGGCGGACAGCGCGGCTGCAGCCCCCGGGCAGCGGGAGGCTCTTTGGCTGAGGTGAGCGGGGTCCCGAGCCCCATCCCGAACCCATCCCTCGGTCCCACCGCCCGGGCGCTGCCCTCACCCTCCCCTCTCGTATCCTCAGTACTGCTCGTTCCCTCTGTGCTTTCCCCTCCCAATTGTACAGCGTTCTCCCAGCCCCTTCTCTCCCCTGTTTTCCGAGCTGCCTCCTCCCCACCCCTCTGGGCTGAGGACAGTCTGGAGAAGGGAGGACTGAGAGGAGATCTCACCAATCCACATAAATATCTCCAAGGCAGGTGCCAAGGGGATGTGCCAGGCTCCTTCCAGTGGTGCCCAGCAGCAACATGAGGAGCAATGGCCATAAATGAAAACACAAGATCCACTTCTCCATGAGGATGGCAGAGAACTGGAAGTGCTGCCCAGGGAGGGTGTGGAGTCTCCCTCCCTGGAGACATCCCACCTGGATGCATTCCCGTGTCACCTGCTCTGGGTGACCCTGCCTGAGCAGTGGGGTTGGACTGGGTGAGCTCCAGAGGTCCATTCCAACCCCAGCTGTTCTGGGATTCCGTCAAATGCTGCTCTTTGGGCTTGGAATTCTCAGCCTGAAGGGACACACAACGCCTAAAATGACACCTTTCAGTCAGCAGGTGTGGTTTGGGTCAGAATTTTAAGAAAATACCATCTGTCTGTCTGTCTGTCTTGCTTTCAATGCAGATGTACAGAGCTGAAGAAATTGGTGGAGGAGAATACAAATGCTCTCCATGCTTTGAAAAAAGTAAGTATGGAGATTAATTTGTGGTTTTCTTCAAAATCCACCGTGGAAAGTGTTTGAAGAAAGTCACTGTTCTATTTTAGATGCCTCAGTCCAAGAGCAATGCCCAGTACTGCATAATCCCTGCTGGTCATCTCTCCAATCTATATTTTTTTATATTCATTTCTATAATTTAAAAATTCACTTTAATGCTTTACTTTGTCCAAGTCCCAGGTGAAAACAGAGAATTTCACCTTGGTAAAAAGGTGAAAGGGTAAGAAAATTGTCACTAAAGAGGGAATGACAGCAGCCCAGGAAGGGGAAAGCTTGTAAGGCATCTCTGGAAAACTTAATTTATAGAGGAACTTTGATTCTTTGAGCAATTTATTGGGGAACTTTGATTTTTTGGGGCATTTTCTGGGTTCTCTGTCAGGCTGACGAGCCGGCACCGGTGGGGAATTACAGCCAGAGGAAGGAAGAGGAAGAAAAGCTTTTGCTGAAACTCTCCCAGCAGCTGCAGAAACTCCTTCTTGTCTTGGATCAGGATAATGTGACAAAGAATTATCCACGGTGAGTAGCTTAAACATACAAATGCAACCTGGTTTTTAAAAGGATGGCTGGAATGGGCCTTGGAAAACAATTATCTCACCCCCTTGATTAGCTGAAAAATAACAGAAGGATAAAAAAAGAAGTGCTCAGGAGAGAACTCATTTATGACTGGCTGGGATTTTCTTAAAGAGTGCTGGACAATGAATGTGAGGTTTGGAGGAGATTCTTCAGGACAGAGAGCAAAACACAGGAATGAAAATGATGGATCTGAAAAATGTCCTTGCAGAGGCTTAACAGCATTTCAAAAAGTTTGGTGGAGATGATACTAAAAAATCGTTTGATTTATTTTGGGTAGGGATGAGGAACACCAGAAAGGTCCTCATGCAGAAGAGGGAGATGAAGAAGAGGAGAGTGAAGATGAAGAAGGTGAGGAGGAGGAGGAGACTGAAGAAGAAGAAGAAGATATGGAGAAGTTGTTGGATGATCCAAATGTTAGAGAATGTGTTGCTGTTGGAAACTTTGATGCCCAGCAGGAAGGGGATCTCACATTTGTGGTAAATCTCTCCCTGTAAAGGGTTTTTACTGCAGTGAGTTAAGCAGTAACTATAATGAAATCCTCTGCTTTTGGGATTCAGCCAGTTGTGGGATTTGGGGAGAAACTGGAGTTAGGTCCTTTTTCATTTAAATATTTGGTTGTTTTTTTGTCTCTGTCTCTTTTTCTGATGCCAAAGAAAGGTGAAGTCCTGCTCATACACGACAAGAAGGCGGATGGCTGGTGGGTAGCTGAAAATTCCAAGGGGGAGAGAGGCCTCGTTCCCAGGACCTACCTTGCGGTTGGTGTGCTGCAACCTCTGTCCTAATCCCCCCTCTGCTCTTTTATGTCAATTAATGAGCATATAGCTGCACCAAATGGGTCACAAAGCAGTGTGGTGGTTGGAAATAAAGCACATTATTTGGAAATAACTCCATGTTTTTATCCATGGGCATGGAGATAGCCACCAAAAGCAGCATTTCTGTGCCTTGGGAAGTTGTGGCAGAGAAGTTTCTTGAACACAAAAATCAGAATCTTTGTTGCTAAAGGCCAGCTCTGAAGACTCCAAGCTGCTGTGGATTAATTTGGGATTTTAATAATTTATCTGAAATGGGAGTCCATGTAAATGTGGGACAATTTTCTGCATCACAGAGAGAAAAATCTTCTTTTCTAAACTTCCTTAATTTATTCTAAACTTAAATTAACATGGGCTGTGGTTGGAGAAGACATTTTTAAGAACAGAACTGGGAAGAAATCAAGCCCTTTGCCATTTTAAATGTGAATTCCAGGTTCCTAAGGAAGAGGAAGAAAGCCAGGAGGAGTCAGAAGAACACATAGAAGTGGTGGATGAAACAGCAGATGGAACTGAAATTAAAAAAAGGTAAATGGAATGTCTCAGATACGGCTGTGAAGCTGCTGCTGTTTGAAAACAGAGTGCTATTTAGTGGTTAAATTTTTGTTCGTGTGAGGATTTACTATAAATCCCTCTATTTTCTTCCAGAACAGATTCCCACTGGAGTGCTGTCCGAGCCATCACAGAGGTAGGTGCCCCTGTTACACTGCAGCTTCACCTGCCATAATCTTCATTATTTTGTAGACAAGCTGTGCCTTTTCCCAAACACCGTGTCTCGTATCACAGCCTATTGTTCTTTAACAACATCTGTGTTTTGGGAGGTTTTGGTAGCAAGAAATGCCACAGAAATGTTTCAGAGGTGACCGACATCCCAAGTTTTTGGTTCTAAATTCTGTAAATTGGGATGAAATTTGCTGTTAAATAGCAGGAACAGTAATATCCTTCTTTTCTTTGTTTTTACTAGAATGACACTGTGGAGGTATTGACCACCACAGGGGCAGTTCCTGCTGGATTTCGCCCATCCATGCTTTTCCAGCTCTTGGAGGAAGGTAAGGATTTTGTCAGACAGGATTCTCAGGTGTCTGTGGTGGCTTTCTCACCCTGGTCACCAGCCTGTTGGTGTTGCTTTATTTTAATTTATTAGCTAACTGGCTATATTTGATCCATCATATAATGTATAAAAGATTTTTTTTTTCCCTTAAATTTTAATATATCAGTGTGAAATCCTGACAAATTTCCTCATGATTTTAAAGAGTTTCTGCTTTGGAAGTTCATTCCTGTTGACTTTGCTGGAAATTAGGGTTGTTTTTTTTTAAATTTTAATTCTTCCTTTTTCTCAAAGGTCTTTTGTAGCCTCTTCACCAAATATATTATCTCATGTTTTCTTAGTCTTTCTGTTTAAAGCTATTTAATCTCTTTTTTAAATTAAATTACTGTGCTTTTGGGATTAAATAATTCAGAATACTCACAGTGCTCGTGGCAGATAATTCCATAGTGTTGTTTGGTCAAATATTAAACTGGACACGAATTTGGGGTGTTGTCCTTTTTGGCACAAAAAAGATAATTTTAAAAAATGAAGAGTTTTTAAATTTACTCTTGTTGTAGGTGAAGAATTTCGAGCAAGTTACTATTTGCAACCAGAGCTTACCCCATCCCAGCTGGCTTTCAAAGACTTGGTGTGGAACTCTGAGAGAAATACCGTGAGTATTGCTGCTAAGGGGGACACCGTTTGCCTTCTTTCCTTTTGGTTATTGATTATGTCTTAATTTGCAACCATCTCTGGAATATTTCTTCTGCTGGGACCTTTTGTCCCACTAAAACATCACAGCTAAAGGCTTGTGAAGAAATCCTGCTGCTACCACTGCACTGCCTTTGTGGTTGGGAGAATCACCTCAGTCCATAAACACAAAATGAGGGCCCTGTAGGTTTAACCCTCCTTCTGCTGCATTTCAGATCCATCCTAGACCCACCAGAGTGTCCCTGATTGTCACTTTATGCAGCTGCAAGATGATTCCTCCTCCCGGAACCGGCGTGCGGGTCCTCAGCCGGCACGTCCGGCTCTGCCTCTTCGACGGCAGCCGGGTAAGGAATGTGTCTGCTTCCCAAATAAAGGACTGGAGGAGGTTTGCAACTCCCAGGATCCTTCAGGTTCTGGTTCCTCTCGTAGGCAGCTCCTCCAGCTGTCTCACACAACCTGCCTCCCAAGATGCTTAATTTATGCTCAGCTGAGTCTGGTTTGAGCCCACTCACGCAGAAGAATAGAACTGAATGATAAAACAGGCCAGACCGCATTGGTGGGCATCGGGCACGGCCAGGCAAGCACGCTCAGCCCTGCTTCCCACCCTTGCTACTCCACAAAGCACTCGATCCCTCCCTTTTTCTGCCTTTGGTTTCTCCCCTGCTGCTTTCCTCTCGGGGTAAATCAGGTGCAGCCCCAAAATGCCCGTGAGCAGTGTGAGGTGAGCCGGGGAGCTGCTCCTGACTCAGGGTGACAGTCACACCCAGCCCTGGGAGGGGCTGGGGTGGGAGCTCCATTTCTGAGTCCCTAATTTTGGGTTCCCCACCTGCCATTGTGCCTGCTGGCTCCTCTGTGTTCCTGGCGATGGGGATGAGCATTTCCCGGGCTGATCCGTCTCCTGGGATGGGCCTGGGAGCAGCTGGGTCAGGGTCAGATTCCTCCACATGCCCTTGATCCTCTGTTCCTTTGTGTGTGTGCAGAGCAGCCTTTTATAAAAACATAACCCTGCTTATCCAGCAGTTTTCTTCCAGCTGTCTTTGTTGCGTGCGGTGTTGGATCCATCTGGGATAACCCTGCATTTTCTGAAAGCAGTAAAACTTGCCTTAGCTTTTTTTCCCCCACTTCAGGTGCTGAGTAACATTCACACAGTGAGAGCTACGTGGCTGCCTAAAAATCCTCAAACTTGGACCTTTTCTCCAAGGGTAGGTGACACAGCTGCTGGCTTTTTACAGCTTCTTCCTTCAGTGTCACTAAAGTGTTCCCTGGTGGCACAGCTATGCTCCATGGAAAGACAATAAGGGGAGCAGGGTTTTGACTGGAATCACTTCTCTCCTCATTTTTTATAGCGGGATTGAGTCTGAGATCTTGTGTTGAGTGAGGGATGTGCTTGAAGGCCTTTAAAATTCAAGTTGTTGGTTTTTTTTCCATAGGTACATTAACTTCTTTTTCCTTTTTCCTCCCTCCCTCTGTACCAGGTGATGGGCATCTTACCCAGCTTGCTTGATGGTGACTCTTTTGTCAGGTCCAACTCCATGTCTTCAGACATTGGGATATTGTTTGAGCTCGGCATCACGTACAGGTGCAATGTGAGTGTGGGGAGGGGCACTGGAAGTCACTCCAAGTGCAGGTTCATAAAGGGAACCAGCTGTCCCCAGGTAGAGAATATGACCAGAGAATATCCCTCTTTAGAGAACAGGATTAGACAATACCTGGAAAGACGGAGAGAGACTTTTCACAAGGTCATGTAGTGATAGGACAAGGGGGAATGACTTCCCACCGTCAGAGGGCAGGGATGGATGGGATGTTGGGAAGGAATTCCTCTCTGGGAGGGTGGGGAGGCCCTGGCACAGGGTGCCCAGGGAAGCTGTGGCTGTCCCTGGATCCCTGGCAGCGCTCAAGTCTGGGTTGGACAGGGCTTGGAGCAGCCTGGGATAGTTGAAGATGTCCCTGGCCATGGCAGGGGTTGGAACAAGATGATCCTTAAAATCCCTTCCAACCCAAACCATTCTGGGATTCTCTGATGGGAGAATATCCCTAATTAGAGAATAAAAGTCCCTCTGGCTCATGGATGTGCATGTCCCTGTACCAACACTGAAGTAACTTGTACCAAAGATCCCATGCCATGGGATCCCAATGGACTAGTTCTCTCTTCACTCCTGCAGTTTTCCATCTCAGCCATTTATTTCAGACCAATGTCCTGTACAGTTTGAAAACTTTAACTGTTTCAGCAGTATGGACAGTGGTTCCCAGCTCCTGTTGACACACATAGAGCCTGTCCATCTGGGATATGCTGCTGGAAAGCACAACAGGTAGTAAGACAATAGATGGTAAAGCCAGGAAAACTACTCTCAGAGAAGGCAGACTGTGATTTTTAAACACACAAAGGTGAAAGAGGAAAAGGGGAATAACTACAACAATTTTGATGTGGTTACTGTTATTAATTGTGGTTCAGTCACTCATTCTGGGTCAGCTGCTCAAATAATTTACATTTCTTTTTTTTCCTAGTCAACAGGTGAAAGAGGAGAGCTGAGCTGTGGCTGGGCCTTTCTGAAGCTCTTCACTTCCACTGGGCTTCCTGTTCCTTCCAAGTGAGTTTGTTGCCTTGTCCTGCTCTCCCTGTATTTACACATAGGTGTAAATAGATCTGTTTTAGACTAAGAGTAAAACTCCTCTTTCATACTTACACACTCCTGGGGCAAGGGGCATCCGCACCAGGCCTTTATGATTCTGGTTCTTCTTTGCTGCATTATCCCTTTCCCATGTGAAAATTGGGAGATGGTTCCCAAGACCTGGAATCAGGTAGGAGTTGTTGTGAATGAATCTCTCACTGCTCTTGGAGCGTAAATTACATTTTTGCAGCTGATTTATGATTATTTGGTCCAGTCATCTGAAAGAACAATAAAGTGGATATATTTTTATTTTATTAAATGTAGGAAAACTTTCTGTTTATTGACAGAAATAATTCACTGTAGCTCAGACTTTCAAGGCTTGTTTTTTACCAAATACTGGTAAACATATATGTATTGTGTATATGTATTCTGAATTTATCTGGGTTACAGCACCTGCAGGACACCTCCACTGTTCTAAAAGTCTCTAAATCTCATCTTTTAAATATTCTACTGTTTCATTAGGTAAGCATGGTATTATAGATTAAACTTCATGCTTGTTTCAGCAGTGACTTACTCTTGGCAGAACTGGGGTTACATTATTCTTTAATTTAAATTGTTGAAGTGATGATTCCTCAAAACCATTTTAGTGCACCAATTGCTAAATTCCATACAAGAAAAATATTTGGGCTGTGGAAAAGAATCAGTGTTGTTAATGGCTTTTAAAATAATTGACCTCCCAGTATAATTAAATTCCAAAAAGAGTTGAATTCCCAATATCATACAGGCTTCAAATTTATCTTTATTGACAGGATGTATGAGCTGGTCCTGAGTGGTGGAACTCCCTATGAGAGAGGCATTGAGGTTGACCCATCAATATCAAGGAGAGGTGTGGTTCCTTTTCAGTGTAATATAAACATAATGACATGATTCATGCTGCATCTCCTTCACAACAGTGCCCACAGCCTGCTTTGGGTTTGTGTGTTCTATTTTTGCACATATTCCATTGTCTATCTGCTTTTGCCTTGGCTGTGGGGAGCTGGGTGCTGCCAGGCTGACTCAACTTGAAAGAGTTCTCAACCCACCGAAATGCCCATTTTTGTCATACAATTATTACTGTTGTTTTAAACTGACTGTTTCAATCTGGGGTGTTTATTCCTTCAGCAGGCTCTGGGGTTTTTCAGCAGTTCATGAGCCTCAGGAAACAGCCTGTGCTTCTGGTGAAAGTGAAGTCACCAAGTGTGCACTCAAAAGACATCCTGAAGTGAGTCCTTGTGCTTCCATAAAATGAAAAAGTATTCCAGATAGTCTAGAGAAATCTGCAGTGTTTGCAGATCAATCAACATTTCAACTGCTGTCCCTTATTTTCCCAACAGTTTTCTCCCTGAAACATTAGTTGGGGGCATGTGCTACATCCATCTCCTGGTGTTTTATCGGCAAATCCTTGGAGATGCCCTCCTGAAGGACAGGATGAGCATGCAAAGCACAGGTGAGCACTGAAGGAAGATCAGGGAATGACTCTCTCCAGAGTCTCCCTCTGGTAAGAGATGTTTTTGGCACTCTGGCTAAGTTAGCCTCTTTGTTTTTATTTTTAATTATTGTTTACTTGCTGACAGTAGGGAGAGACCCAAGTTGGAGAATTCTGGTTTTAGGACTCAGTGTCTTGCCCTGATTATTCAGCAGAACTAATGATAGTTTATATCCTTCGCTATTTCGAAACCAATTTGAAATAAGGAAAAATTACATTTCTTAACTGTACTACATTTGAATTTATATAGGTGAGAACTGCCACACTTACCTGATTTGTTCTTCATGATTTAGGACAGTAGATCAGGCTGGTGACCTCTCCTGGAGTTAAATTGCATCCCTTTGGATTCAGACTTCATTTGAAGTCATTGAAAGGCTTTATCCCAGAAGTTGTTCTGGTAGCTGTGCAACTAAAGAAGATTTCTATTATTTCAAAATTCACCATCACTGTAGGAATAGACAACTGAAAATGTCTCTTCTACTTCCCAGAAGCCATCAGTCCTGGCTCCCTTCCCCAAAATGTTTTGGCATTAGTAAATGCTTCATGTTTACCAAACTTCCCATCAGCTTCAAGGTGAAGAAACAAGTGTACCTTCAATATTTGAAATCACACAATAAAGAAAACACTTCATCCAAAATCCTGCTCTCTGTCACCTGGAATCTTACCCACAGTCTCATTAATTAAAATAATGACAGGAGCAGAGTGATTTCTCATGGAAGTGATCCAAAAAGCACCAGGACACCTGTGCAGTGGGATATGTGCCCCATAGGGAAAATTCACTGTGCACTTGGTCCCTGGTTCTCCTAAAATGCCACATCAGACACAGGCTGAGGTAGAACCCAAGTGTGTTTATCCATAACATCCAAACCAAGCAGCACAATTACAGCTGTGTGTAAAAAAGACAGGTGCAGAAATGAGGGAAAACATCCCTGGCAGGTAAATCGGGAAGGGCTCGTGTTTGCTGGCATTCCCAAAAAACAGCACTGGGCTTTGTGTGTCGCCTCTCCTAGTTCAACTGTCTCTCAGCCACTGAGAAGTGGCTGCAGTCAGAACAGTTTTTAGGGAGTTCTCCTACCTTCCCTGCTCTGAAGAACTGTTATAGCTCATTTTCCCTTTGGAATAATCTGTCAGGAGGGGATGTGCTGAACACCTGGATGGGTCAATACTGAAAACCATCCTGACTCCTTCTTAGCCTTGACTGTGCTTGCTTTCTGTTGCAGACTTAATCTGTAATCCTGTTTTAGCAACTTTCCCTCAACTCCTGGATCAGCCAGACCTGATGGATGCACTTCGGGTATGTTACCTTGTCGAGATTTCCAGGCAAAATTTGAGCTTTTTTTCTGTCCTGGGGGAAGACAAAGTTCTCCACAGCCTTGGTCTGATTTTACATTTCATTTTAGAGTGCCTGGGCAGACAAAGAAAGAACATTGAAGAGAATTGAGAAGGTAACAAACTACAGGTTTTTCTTCCCATATATTCAGGGTAATTTGAGCTAGCTGCAATTGCTGCTTAACTTTTCCTCTCACTGTACATCTTTTTGGAAAATAGAGATATGTAAATGCAGTTCTTAACATTTCTCACCCAGATTCATAGCAGTAAACCAGGAGGAAATTTAAATTAACTTGTAACTTTTTATTTCAGTGTTGTTAGGGGGGGAACCTGTTACAGTGTGGCTCCCTGTCAGGATGTGCTCCCAATAGTCAGCTGGTAAAAGCTTTCCATGGAAACATAAGGGGCTGTGTATGCCCACAAAATCATCTTCCCTCCACCAAACTCTGAGCTTCAGTTCTCCCACAATCTGCCTGGGTAAAGGTCCCCAAATTCCTCAATGTCCCTGCCCCAGACAGTTGTAATCCCACATTTTGGCACGTAGACAGCTGGAGAACTGACCTGGTGGTCCCCAGGCTCACCCACACCTTGTCCTACCTCCTGTCCCACAGAGAGCAGCTGCAGGGAACTGAATGGGAAAGCCATTGGCTCTCAGTCCTGCATTTCCTGGGAGCAGCAGCGGGGTATTTCATTCCCTGTGCGTGCTCCTGGATTGATGCGCGAGGACGGCTCCCCGTTTACGCAGAACAAACACCCGCTGAGTCAGAGCGGCTTTTTCAGGGCCATTCATCCAAAAGGAAAGCAGATCTGCTCACAGAATTGGCAACTCCCCGGGCTCCCAGAACCATCCAGTTCTACCTGACTGGCATGTGCCACTCCCGCGGGAGGATTGCTGCCTGCTGAAGGCTCACCCCTCGCGTGGTTCCGTGAGGCTGAGCCCTGCAATGCTCCCCGCCAGGCACAGCGCTCCTGGGGCTGGGACACTCCGGACTTGGATCTTTCCCGTGTGTTTGATAATTGACCAGGCTGATCCTTTGGGTTTTCCAAAGTTATCTTTACAGGGGCACACACAGGTCACACCATGCACAAAGAGAGCCCGGGGGCAGCATCACCTCTGGCTGCAAGGAGTGGGATCAAAGCCACGCTCCGCCTGGGGGAGCAGGGAAATGAGAGGAGTTTGGGTTTCCAGGGCAGGGAAGATACAATATTAAGAAAATATAAATACCCCACAGCAAAGGGCTCTCTGTGCCTGTCGTTTGTGTGAAGGCTGGCAGAGTTCAGTGCAGGTTTGTTGGTATGCTGGAGGCTTTTCCAAGATAACCGATGTGTGTTTAGGAAGGTCAAATCTCTTCCCGTTGCTTTCCTGGGAACTGGGAGTGAGTTGTTTGGGTTTTTTCCTGTGTACAATACTTTGGGAAAGTGCTTGGCAACACCACGTGTTTGCACTGAAGTGTTTTCAAACGCTTTTCTCTGCAGAGAGATCAAGAATTCCTGAAGTCTGCGTTTGTCCTGGTGTACCACGACTCTGTATTCCCTCTGCTCTGCTCCACGATTCTCCCCAGCTACAAGTGGGCTGAGGAAGAGGTGGAATTGTCTCGCTGGAAGGTGATCCATGACTTCCTGAAAAGGAGCCGGGAGAACGACGGCGCACTGGAGTACCTGCTGTCATCAGGAAACACCCACAGAGCCTTTGACATCTCAGAGCTGGCCTACGATTTCTTAGGAGAAGTCAGGGAAAACAATCCTGGAGAATGAACAAGTCAGGTTCTCTAGGAGCATGGTAATAATAAAATTAAAATCTTACCAAAGAGATTGTGTAGGATCTGAATTGTAATGGATATTTCAGCACAATTAAGATTTTGAGAGAGATTAAAATTATTTTATCCAATTATCTGCTGGAAGTTGTATTTTAAATTTTTGCTTTTGCAGTGTTAAACAAGGCTCTGGTTGCCTGTTACTACCTGTTGTAGCCATGTCAGGTGTCATATTTTGCCAAAGCTGAGGTAGCCCTTTTCTCCTCTCATGCAGCTTCCAATTAATTTCCAGTGTTGTTTTAATCAGGATGAACAAAAGGCTCTTTGTCCCAGTCCCCCAGCAGCCTGGAAGCAGGGAAGGGAAAGAGCAGCGATCTTTAAGAATGCTGCTGAGCAAGGACAGCCAGTTTAGGGGCAGAATCCTCTCTTGCCAAACCAGTGACCAGCAGGTTACTTCTTTTTTAGACTGTTTGCCTATTCCTCACCCCCACTCAGGAGAAGGCTGGGTTACTCCCAGGAATGTGCCTGACCCAACACAAAAAACAGCTGGTGGGAATCCTGAGAATGCTGCATTTCCCCAGGATTATTTCATCTGCTGACCCCTCAGTGCCTTGTGACCACAGGCTCTGTGTGCTGCCCACTCCCAGAGGGAAGTGATTAATCCACTTTCTCTTTAGTGCTGGAGCATCTGGATGCTCCCTGCAGGGCAATGGGGACATTGCCACCAAGTCACACACGGACTTAAGCCCAGGCCAGGCTTAGTTTTGTATGGTGAGATATAAAACAAGATTTTTGAAAGCCTCCACTGCATGGTGCCAAAAACCAGCTCCCACTGGAGTATCTATAAACTGGAGCCTCCAGAAACACCACAGGACACTTCCCCCAGCATAGGAAGGGCTCAGACAAGAGACATGGATGTGATCTTTGCTCTGTGTTGTGCAAGAGCTTAGCACAGACGCCAAGTTCCTGGGGCATCACCTGTCTCGCCTGGCATAGCTGGGATATCTCACTGGGACAGTGTCCTGCTGTAGCCCACTGCCCCAGTTAATGGGATCATTCTGTCCTCTCTGGGCCACCAGGCAGAAGTGCCATCCCCAGCCTTTCGTCCCACCTCTTATCTGGGAGTTCTGGGGCCAGGCAGAGTGCGCTGGATGAGACAGCAGGTGCTTCCCAAATCCAAAATGTATTTGCCAGGAGGCAGAAATTCCAGTAGCTCTCCTTCAAACCTTAGAGGGCACTTGGGAACACATTGCCAAACCCTCCCGCTGCGTCTGTAAAATTTACCTGCTAGTTCCTGAAGGTGGATGTACCTGGAGGGTGTGGAGGGGTCTGACGTGATCACGGGAGCAGAAACCTGAACAGAAAGGGGAGGAGGCAACAACAGTGGAAGCAAAAATATTTCAGGCTTGGAAGCGTGCCAAGGACAAGTGTTTGCAGGAAATATTCCTGTCCCGGCAAGGTGTAGGAAGTTTTTTTTCCCCTTTTCCCTCCAATTCACGACCTTGCATTGGTGCGTGTTGGGGCCGGGGTCGGGCTCTGTCGCATCCCGGCCGGCAGCGGGATGCACAAAGCCGCGGTGTCCGGCGGTGCCGGGGCACGGCGCGGTGCCAGCCCCGGCCGGTTCCTGCGCTTACGTCCCGCGGGCGTGTCCCTTAAATCCCGCACGGGAGCGGCCGAGCGCCAGCGGAGCCCAGCGCAGCGCTGTCAGCGGAGGAGACATGGCCTCGGTGGGTCCCTCTGCAGCCTCCGCTCAGCCAGCCCTGCCCTCCGGACCCGCCGTCTTCAAAACCATCCCCTACGCCTTCATCCTGCCGGAGATCGTGAGTATGCCTCGCTCCGCACCCGCTCCCGGCTCAAATCCCCCGAAATCATCCTGAAGGCATCATTACTGGGATTACTGACACCTTGTCTTTGAGCTTACGCTGAAAGCACGAAGTATTCCTGATGGGGTTTTTAGGAACAGCTTGAGGACAAGGTACACTCCGCTCCATCACAGCCTGTGTGAGGGTCGCTGGCTGTCGTGAGGCTGGGAGAGGCTGTAGAGCTGCTGGCTCACCCAGGGCAGACGAGCAGCTCTTGTTATCATGTAGAAACGGCTTGAAAAAATCAAGGCAGTTCTGGTCTCAGGTCGTTCCAGGGGTTGAAGGCAATTTGGCGTCTCCTAACGTGTGACATTCCATGACTCTTTCAATTGCTTCTGGGTCCAGAGGGCATCCAGTGGGACTGGCTGAGATAGCAGCTGGTGTACTTTGTCATGGTGCACATGGGCTGGCAACCCACACACCCTGTGCTCCACAGGCACAATCCCTGCCGTGGTGATGGGCTCAGCTCCCTGCTGCAATTCCTGGGATGGCACAGGGCAGCATCATCCCGATAAGCCTATGTGCGTTTTGTGCTCAGCAAATCTTCTGGGTGGATCCAGAATGGGCAACTCACTCCAGGCTGGTGCGTGGAGCTGAAGGAGACTTCCTCGTGCTGTGATTCCAAGCCTCGGAGATGACCGAGCGAGCAGGGCTGTTTGCTTTTCCCAGATAAAAGCACATTTTCTGGCTCCTCCACCAAATCCCTCGGGGTGACACATTTCCTTGTGTGGAAGGCGGCAGCAAACCTTTCCCTTTCGTGTGAGCACTCATTTCCCATGAGTGTTCAGGGAAACCAGTGCCAGCTTGCTTGTTGTTGCACCGGGATGCCCTGGGAAAGATGCAGCAGTTCCGCTGGCTGCTGTGGCCTGCCCAGGAGGGAGGCGAGGAGGGAACCGGGCAGGAAAAGAGCTTTTCCTCATCCCACACTCATCAGAGGTGCCTGTTTGTCCCTGGCAGCTCTGCGGGACCTGGGTGTGGATCCTCGTCGCTGCTACCTCCGTCTCCCTGCCGCTGCTGCAGGGATGGGTGATGTACGTGTCCCTCACCTCCTGCCTCATCTCCCTGCTGCTCCTCTTAAGCTACCTCCTCGGCTTCCACAGGAACAGCGAGAACTGGAAAGTGCTGGTAAGGAGAGGATGGAACACGGGCAGATGTTGACAGCAGCAGTGTGGGTGCAGGACCACCACGGCTGGTGACCCACCGACCCTCTCCTTCTCTTGCCTCAACTGGAAAGTCCAGGGGAGCTGTGCTGTCAAACCACTGCCTGGGAGGGTTTGGTCCCCGCCCTATCCAGGCATGTGTCCCCCTTGGGGCACTCACAGGAGCGTTGCTTTGCAGGACAGTTTGTACCACGGTGCCACGGCCATTCTGTACATGAGCGCCGCTGTCCTGCAGGCCAATGCGACCATCAACTCTGAGCTCAACCCCGATGGGCCGCTCAACTACCAGCTCAACAGCGCCGCATCGGTGAGTCCAGAGCACCCTGCCAGGCTGCAGAACACGCAGTTCCCCTGGGACAGGCAGCAGCACGTGCTGAAGCCACAGCAGAGCCACCCAAATCCCCACAGTGTCACACTGGGCACAGCTTCAGCTCCTCACCTCTGTGGGTCATGCAGCTAGGGTCGGCTTCTCAGGGTCCATCAGTTCATGGACAGCCCGACGTGGCTGGATCCTGGGAAAAGCTGAGGCTTTGCCTCTCCTTTGAGGCTGGAGAGAGCTCTGGGCTGGGAGGCTTCCCCATGCTGAGAGCATTGGGAGGAGATGGAGTTTGACTCTGCCAGCTGACCCTCCCTCTTCTTCCTCTCGTGCAGTTCTTCGCCTTCCTCACAACCTTCCTATACATCCTCCACGCCTTCAGCATCTACTACCAGTGATCCTGGCAGCACCAGATTCACCTCTGCAGGACGAGGGCTTTCCCAGTGTGAGAGACCCTGCTGTCTTCCCAAGGTGTCCCTGCCCCAGCCCTGTCACCAGGCCTCAGGAACAGCAGGTCCTTTTGCACTTCATCACAGGAGGGATTTTGCTGGCACACACTGCTGTGCCTGTGGGACATTTCCTGCCTTGCCTGGGGGCTATGCAAGGGGAGGGACCGGGCACAGGCCCCAAAGCCTCCAATTCCAACATTCTGCCAAATATTGACACCAAGGAAGGGAAAAAAACCATCACTGTTCCTTCAGCAAACAATCTCCTTTCTTTGTATTATTTGCCTTTCTCTGGTTCAGCTCCATCCCTCCCCAACACAAATTCATAACAATGATACAAGATTGTGTTCCTTGACTTTCAGATGGTTTCATTTGGTAAATGCTGTATTTGGAATAAAGTGTCAACTGACAGATTTTGACTACTCTGTAAGCTGTGTTCACTGAACAAGCTCATTTTACTCCCCAAGAGTTAGAAAAGAAACACAAAATGTTCGCTTACAAAGCTACAGCAGATTTTAAACAAGTAAATCATAGAACTCATAGGAAATTTCTAGATGTAGTATAAAACTACAGCACGAAAAGAATGATTACAACAGACATTTAGAGCAGCTCTCCTCACGTGTCTCCTGATTCCCATTACAAAACCTGCAGCTGCGAGTCCAGGCACTGGCACCGGCGTCACGGAGCACTGGTGTTACTGGCGTCCCTCTTCCATATCCTCAGCCTCAGAGCAGCTGGAAGGCACTCCCTCCTCTCCCTGCTCCAGGGAATCCTGCAGGTCTGGGATAGTGTTGGCTCGCAGCACATCCAGGTAGAGCAGGTAGTCCTGGAGGCAGGCTGGCAGCGGCAATTCCCGGATCACGCGCTCCGAGCGCAGCCGCTCGCTCCCCAGCAGGGACCGGATCTCCAGGCGGCACAGATGGGACAGAGAAGGAAGGAAGGCTGGAAAATGAAAGCCCAAGTCAAACACAGAGCAGCTCTTACAACACAAATATATTTATTAATAAAAAAGGAAATAAAGAGAGAGCTAAATCTCAATTTCCCCAAATAACCCCCTTAAAACACCCTCATTAGCTTCAAACATTCTAAAGGAAGTATTATTAAATGACATTATCACTTAGACAACTTAAAAATTTTTACAGACCCTTTTAAAGAAGAATTTTCTTTGAAAGGAATCATTAACAAAGACACCTAAGTGCAGTTTCTCAGCCACATAACACATAACTGCTTTTCTGAAGGATGAACTATGAAAAATTCCTGCACAACCAACTGAATCTTTCTGGCTTGTAACTTCTTGATTATGTTTGATTTTTGTGGTGTGTATTTAATTACTGTCCAGGGCTTACAAAACAGATGCTTCATTAGAAATACAAATTAAGAAAATAAAACATAATTAAGTCATATTGTCATCTTCTCCTCAACCTCCCCATCTGCAGCCTGGAAGCTGGTTACATGGAGACATCAATTTCCTGCATGTATTCCTTACCAAAATGGCTCTTGGAAGTCCAAGTGAACTTCTCCTTGTATTGGGAAAGGTGTTGCTCCACAATTGGAGGAAGTCTGCTCCAATTCATGAACTCCAGGACAAAATTAAGGACATCCTCACCCATGGAGAAAATCCTGCGTAACAAAGACTCCCCTAAAATACCTTTTAAAACTATTTATAGATTACAAAATAAAAGACCAAGAAGCATTGCATGTGATACACAAGAACAGTGAGATTCATTCAGTCACTGAGTTGCAAACTTGTCATGTGTTTACTACAGCCTGCAGAAAATACAAACATTTCATAACTCTAAGTGTAATCCTGTAGTGCCCAATTAAATATAAATCATCAACAAGCTGTTATTTATATGTGGAAAAACTTCAATAATAATAATAAAAAAAATCCAACTGGAATTTTTGCCACATTGTGTTAAAACAAAAGTCTGAAACTGCATCCGTTTCCTCTCCTCCCAGCCTTGGCCCAGCTTCACTTCCCATTTGCTTCCCATCCCTCCTGACCTATTTCTCCCATTGGAATTTCTTCTTACCATGGCTGTATTAAAGTATTACACACACAATTTGCAGCTAAATTTGGGGGTTAATTAGAGATGTTCGATATAAATTTGGGAAGTGATGCCTTATCGCTACCCTAGAGAAAGGCAATTTCCAATCTGGCTTTCTTCCTAAATAAAACTGTTTTACTGCCTCCAGACATGACGTGTGAATGATTTATTTCAGACTTTCCACAACCCCTCCTGTTCCTGATGGCGGCAGCTGATTATCAAGGGCCATCCTGTGAAAGCCCTCGCTCAGTAGCAGCTCTGCACATTAGCACAAGGTGTTTAAGTAAATAAAGACAAGGCTCCCTGCTCACCAGAACTTGCACATGAAATTCACAGGGTTGAAACCAGCCAGGAGCAGGCAGGGCAGCCATTCCTTGTATTCCTTCTGCACCGTGCTGCTGTAGTGGATGAAGTGCATTAATTCCTCCTCCGAGGGCAGGGAACAGCCCAGCCTCAGGAAGCGCCGGAACAGAGCAAACTTCTTATGGCACAGGCAGTGTGCCAAGTTAATCCCACGCAGGGTGATCCCGTATTCCAGGAGAACATCGATGAACTGGTAATACCTGTGAGCAGGGAAGGAACACGGCATCCCATGAGCTTCCCCTCAGAAAGCGCCTACCACTTTTTACATCTGTCTCCAATAAAACATTTTAAAATGGTTTTATTGAAATCTTTTCATCATTACCCACTGCAACAGGGTAATAGGATAAGGACTGAGACTATGACTGGTGCTGCCTTTTGGTGATTACATGGCACATTGCTCCATTGAAGTGGTGATGTGTTACCTGCCTCGTTCACAGAGCAATCACCTGCTCTGCATCCTTTCTTAAATTATTTATTATAAAGCAACACTAGGGAAGAAAGGGAAATATGGTGTCCAAGGATTTTTAAAGGCAGCTTCCTAGGAGCAGGCCACAAACTAAATTCACTACTAACAAACCTCATTAATTTAAATTCTATGCCATAACCAATTTCAATCTATGTACAAATAAATAATCTGTTAAAAGCTGAGAGGATTCAAAACCCGTTTTTGAAGATGTTTTCCTTAGTGCAGCACGAGTCACATTCCAGGACTTCACATTAATATTCCCAAGGAGGAATATTAATGAGTGTCTGCAAAGGGGGAACACACTGGAATTCTGGAAAAATACTACATGATAGCAGCAGAGGGAGGAAGGTGGGAAACTACACGTTTAAAGTAAGTTAATTAAAGCAAATATGATTAACTTGAAAACAGAAGAGGTTTGCTTACTGCTTTTGGAAGATCATGCACATGGGGGACCTGCAGTCGAAGTCCAGGCACTCCTGGGCATCGGGGCTGAAGCCCTGTTTGAGCAGCATTTCCAGGCACTCCCCGTCCCCGCCGTAGAGCGCGGAATACACGGGGCTCACCTTGCCCTCGCCCCTGTCACAAATCCGGTCTGTGATGGGAATCAGCAACTCCAGTATCCTGCAGGTATTTAAAACCACTGCTTTCTGATCTTATGCAATGATTCATCTTAAACACACTCTTGTTTTTTCACGGGCTCATTGCAGCTTTAGAAGAAAATGATGTATTTTCACTCTTGAATTTGCACCTTTATAATTCCATATACAGACCCGTGGCAAACTTTGTGCTTTGGGATGGATTTGGTCTGGAAAGAAGCATTTTAAACCAAATACTAGGGACAGCTACTTCCTATTACCCAACAATTCTTTTTTCAGCAACAGAACACCACTGCACATTAAATCCCAACTCTAAGGAAGTTTGGAAGCAAACTGGAAATGTGAGTTGCAAATGAAATGAATTCTGATTTTTCTGGTTCACAGAACTAATTCTGTTTACAGCTGACACCCCAGGCCACATCACATTAGTGACAAACACCAGTTCCTTTGCTGCTGGAACTTACTGGTGCTGTGTAAGAGTTGCCAGTGATGTATCATCATTTATATATTTTAAGTGCTGTCCATGTGTGAATCATGGAGTTCCTGAGAGATCCTTCTCCCCAGTGGTCTACTCCCAAAACTTCCTTCCACTCTTGGCTCTCTGCTGTGGAACTGACTTGTAGCACTGAAATTGGGCAAAGCTACAAATGCATCTATGGAAAGGTTAAAGAAACTGCTTTGTGGCTTCAATTTTTCTGGCTGGTGCAGCTAATTCAATATTTGCATATAATTACTTCTGCTACTTAATACAGAATTCTGCATATAATTACTTCTGCTACTTAATACAGAATTCTAATTAGCAGCTGTTCAAGTCATATATAATGTATAATACAGTTATTTGTATTTTTAAATGGAAAAGCAATATGGTCATAGAGTGAATTAATACCTGGTTCAGCACTATGGAAAACCCTCTAAATTCATCAGGATATGGATCAAACCCAGGTTAGATGCTGAATTAAAAATCCTATAATCACAGAACAGTTGGGTAATCCAGTTCTACCCCCTGCAATGGGCAGGGACACTTCCACTATCTCAGGTTGCTCCAAGCCCTGGCCTGGAACATTTCCAGGGATGGCACAGGGAAGCATTTTCCCTAAGTATTTCATCTAAACCTACTCCCTGTCAGTACAGAAGAAACTACTAAGAGACATTTAAACTAAGAAAATAATCAGAACTTCTAAACTACAGATCAGTTTGAACACTCAATTTTTCCCCCTTTTAGGGCTGAACCTCCTCCTTTGTGGATCAGATTTGTGTGACCAGGACCTACTTTGCATGGCCCATCTCAGCTGCTGCATGAATGGGTAGCTGCCAGTTATCCTCGTTGCAGTAGAGGTTTGGGTCTGCCCCTGCAGTCAGCAGCAGTTTCACACAATCCAGGTGTCCCTCCTGTGCAGCAATCAGCAGGGGAGTGGCCTTGTCCTTGGCCTGGCAGTTGACATCTGCACCTGACACAAAACAAAACCAAAGCCATGTCCATCAGTCACGATTTTTCAAGGGCTGGCTTCAAACTCAGCGAGTTTTCCGCAGCAATAAGGAAATAAAACCTCCAATATTCGAAATGACGACGCGCAAGAGCATGGAAGCGTAGCAAGGGAAATGAAGGCTCGTGGTTACCGTGGGACAGAAGCAGCTGCAGACTCTCCAGCTGGCCATACTGAGCGGCCACAAACAGAGGGGTAATTCCAAAGTCATCGCGGCAGTCCTTGCTGGCCCCTTTCTCCAGGAGCATTTGCATTATCTCAGTGGAACCCTGAAATCAATGGGTTTAGACTTAACCAGCAGGAAAGCGAGGAAATTACATAACCTGGTTTTCCCCACATGTTCCTGAGAGAAAGAATAAAACCTACAATGCATTCAATACTCTGAAGATGCACTTAAAAATTAATGGTATAAGAAATTTGGCAAGTTCAAGTTAATCACTTTTGCCCATTTACATGATAAACTCATTTGTATGTGTTAGAACCATTAAGCCAACATATTTTTAAGTACAAGCTTATGACTGCTAGGCTAGGTCAGGAAAAATTACCTGACAAATGCAGTAATTATTAAACAAATAATTATCTCCCAGAATACACCAGTTACACAGAAATTACATGATGTGCTCACAGGTTACCTGAAAGGAAGCTTGGTGCAAAGAATTCCATCCAGACCAAGAATGAGAACCTTCAACATTTGCTCCGTGTTGGAGCAGAAACTTGACAACCTCTGTGTGTCTGTTTTCAACAGCTTCCATGGAACAGTAATAAAAAGATAAATAATAAAAAAAAAATTCTTATTGAAGAATTTAAAAAATAAATAAAGTATTTGGATTTAAAAGCGAAAAAGGTCTTACTGCCAACATCCTGAAACAATAATCCTAATTCCTTTAAACTTGCCCATTATATACTTACTTGCCTTTTATATTTAGATCCCCAAAACAGTGCTGCAGAATGGAAATGATGCCAAAATTCCCCCAAACATGGAAAAGACTTGGAACAGGTAACATGGGACTCATGATGTCTGAGTACAGAGGCAAGCAAATCAATAAGCATATTTAATCAGATGATTTAGACCCTCAGGATTCACCAGAACAGAAGTTTTAAGCATTTAATTAGGTCAAACATAAATCATAGAAAAAATGCTAAAATAATGGACCTTAATTGTCAAACTAGAAATGTCAAAAGTAAGTCTTTTAACATAAGAATTAGGGAGGAGTTATAAGAATCAAAAAGGCTTTGAAACAGCCTCATATAGATGTAATCATGAACCTCCTAAAGTTTTCCTGTGCTTGATGCAGAAAACCAGTTTGCTTTTATAATTTCATTTTAAAACACTGTCTGAAGCAGATGTACCCATAAACAAAAGGTTATTTCCACACCCACTGGGTGTGAGTCTAAAGCCTGGTAGGTATTGAGGCCTACAAAAAGATGCAACATGGCAGGCAAGGAAGAAACTCTGGTGAGTTTAAACTTGGAGAAACTTGTGTTTTAACTGGTGAGTTCAAACTCTGGGATTTGAGGAAAGCTTGTGTCACCTAGGAAGAGCGGGGTGGTGGCAGATTCAGTGGTGACATTGTTGAGGTCAGCCCCAGCTTCCAGGAGAACCTGGAGACATTCCACAGAGCCGTGACGAGCCGAGAGGTGCAGAGCACACAGCCCTTCGAATGTCCTCGAGTGGATGTAGTCATCAGCTGGAGCTGCAGAGGAGCATAATGAGGGGAAAAAAAGGGGTATTTGGCAGTGAATTTCAAAATACAATCATTTTAAGAAAATAACAGAGTTATTTGAGATATGTGGCCTACGGAACACCCATGAATGTGCTGTTATCACCTCAAGTATCACCCACAATTCACAAGTATGAATTGCAATGTGTCAACTTCTCTTTATTACAGTTTGGAAACCATACAGAAAATCCCCAAAGAAGGACAAGCTGAATCTATATAACTTGTATTTTCTATGGCAGGGTAATTTAGCAGAAAACCACACTATTTCCCAGTAGGTTTTCCTTACCTGTATCAATGAGCAGCTTCAGGCACTCACTGGAATTGTGCGCTGCCGCTTCGTGGATGGGCAACCACCTCCTGTTATCCGGGACATCAACGCTGTATCCCCGATTAATCAATTCCCTCAGTATTTCAACATTCCCTTCTCTGGCTGCAAGGCCCACGGCCGAGCACCGGTCAGAATAGGCTTCTGTGAAATCCATCCCTGGTGTGGAACTCTGCAGAAGGAAAGGAGTGGAGAGGGGGGGAAAAAAGAGAGATGTGTACAATATAGATACAAGAAGGGTCTTGTTTTTTTTGTAGAGGATTTGGTTTGGTTTGGAGGGAGATGGTGGTTTGGAGGGGTTAGGGGGAGGTGGTTTGTGGATTTTGAGGGGAGGTGGTTGTGGGGTTTGAGGTGAGTTGGTGTTTGTTTGGAAGGTGTTTGGGGATTTAAGGGCAGGTTGAATTGGAGGAGAGATGGCTGTTTATGGGGTTAAGGGGTGGTTCTTTGTGGGGTTTGAGGGCAGAGGTGATTGTTCGGGAGGTGGTTGGCGGGTTTGGGGCGAGGCCATTGGGGGGGATGTGGTTGTTTGTAGGCCTGAGGGGTGAGGCGGGTGCTCGGGGGAGGTTGTTTGTGGGTTTGGGATGCGGTCGCCGGTGCGTTTTGGGGAGAGGGTGGTTCGTGAGGACG